AAAAAGACACAGCACGAGTCACCGATTGTAAACAATTCCACTGCATAGGAATTTCGAGTTGCTTTTTGATTCCACTAACTAAAAACGAGTCACCGATTGGTTTTTCCACCTCCCCTCAGGTTACAGCGTGCGCGCGTTCAACAGCATCCTCCGCCAGGAGATCGCCTACAAGCCCATGGAAACTCTGAAGCTGGCCATCCCCTCTGGCATCTACACCCTGCAGAACAACTTGCTCTACGTCGCCCTATCCAACCTGGACGCCGCCACCTACCAGGTACGTCTTCCAAGCCGCTGCGCCTTTTGGCATCCACGCTCACTTTGGCCACTTCCTGCCGTCCCGCCAGCTCACGTACCAGCTGAAGATCCTGACCACGGCTCTTTTCTCCGTGTTCATGCTGGGACGCCGGCTGGGCGTCTACCAGTGGCTCTCCTTAATCATCCTCATGGCCGGTGTGGCTCTCGTACAGGTGGGTGGCCAACTTTTGCCATTTTCAGTCGCGATCAACCATTTGGAAAAAGAATCTGTGAATTGAATGTGATTTTTTTTTCCCAAGTTACTTTTCTCGCGTTAACAAACACAAGAAATAGATTGAGCTGTATTACAATAAATAATGTCTGAATTACTGTCCATGAATGATTTGGTCTGATAGCTTTGGTTTACACAATTTTTTATTTTATTTTTTTTTTTGGTCCTCAAATTAAATACCGGTATTGTTTTGAAAATTCCATTCTACTCCACATCAATGTCCACTCCTAATTTTCAGACCTTGACTTACACGTGCACCAACGTAACTTTTCTTTAACACCTTTAAGTTGCTTTCTATATTTTCAATACCTGTGTGGCCACGTTCGAATTTTGTGTTCAAAACCCGGACATGAGTGAATATGACGAAACAGCGGTCGTTTGGGATGCACTTATCAAGCGTCAAGTGTTGAAAAAAGGGGAAATTGTTGTGTTAGCACCCCCTCCTCATCCCAGTTTAAACAGTTTATTTATTTTTTATTATTATTTTTTAATTGTATGTTAGCATTAAGCTAACGATATTTGCAGGGCACCATTGCGGAGTCGTTGCGTTGGGAACACTTGTTCCCCACTCCCTAATCCGTGTCACCTCATGATTTTTACAATACAGTATAGAGCACTGGTGTCAAAGTCAAGGCCCGGAGGCCAGATTTGGCCCACCACATCATTTTATGTGGCCCGCAAAAGCAAATCAAGCATGTGAATATCCATGTTGCTTGCAAAAGTCTGAACCAAAACCATACGTAGAGGTGGTTTCCCAAAATTCATCACGACCCTCCAAGGCAAGCCGTAACTACAATCTGGCCCGCGACAAAAACGAGTTTGACACCCCCGATATAGAGGCACCGCCCTCCAACTCGGCCTGTGGCAGCTTACACGCTTGTCTCGTATTTACAGTGGCCGTCGGAATCCCCGGTCGTGGCGGAGAAGGCGTCGACGCCCACGGGCTCCCAGTTTGTTGGCGTCATGGCCGTCCTGGTAGCGTGCTGCTCCAGTGGCTTCGCCGGCGTCTACTTCGAGAAGATCCTGAAGGAAAGCAAACAGAGCGTCTGGATCCGAAACATCCAGCTCGGTCAGTTCATGTCGGTCCACTTCTGATCCAATCCATGGAAGCTTTTTTTTCCCCGCTCCTCGTGTATTACAGACAGAGAGTTAAGGTTTCAATAACCGCTCATACTGGCTGTCACCGGATGCCAGGGGACTTCTAAGCAGCTTCTAGATCACAATGACGGTTGCTCGCAGAGTTGAGCAAAGGAGCTGCACCCCCCCCCCCCCCTCGCGACCCCCCCCCCCCCCCTTGAAGTGATTTGGGGCCCTTGACGCCATCTCTTGTGCATTTTAGGGATGTTCTGCTTCGTGTTCGGCTTTGTCGGGATGCTGAGCTTCGACGGAGACAAAGTGATGGAGTCGGGAATGTTCCAGGGATACAACGCCATCACCGTCGCCGTGGTCACGCTGCAGGTCGGTCTCGCTTGGACGCTGACTGCCTCCGTTTGGCCTCTGTCCATCCGCACACGTGTTTTTCTTTTTTTTTTTGTTGTTGTTGTTTTCCACTCAGGCGCTGGGCGGTCTGGTCATCGCGGCGGTCATCAAGTACGCCGACAACATCCTCAAAGGCTTTGCCACGTCGCTCTCCATCATCCTCTCGACGCTCATCTCCTACTTTTGGCTCCAGGACTTTGACCCCACCAGGTACAAGCGCCACTCTCTTCAAACGTACTTTGCCGTGGCAACTGTACAGCTGAAGCGTTTACAGATGCCATGTACCGTATTTTCCGTAACTATAAGGCGCACCTAAAAGCATTCCATTTTCCCCAAAGCCCGATGATCCGGTGCACCTTATATATGGTGTCACAGTCTCTTTATATTCCCTGTTCGTGTTCCGATGACATCTAATGGAGATTTTCAGCAGGAACCAATTGTAACCTAAAAGGGTTTTGCCCGACACGAATCGACAAAACATAATACCAAAAGCATAGTTAACTCCTGACTAAATGAAGGAAGAAGGAGACAAGCAAGACTATTTCGCCCCTTTGTGGATGTGAGCCCATGAGGTTTGTGTGCCTTTGTGTTGAATCGATTGTCTTCATCACGTTTGTCTTTCATTTATTGTTTTGTCATGCCTTTTGTATTTATATGTTTCACGCCCGTGTTTGTCAAAAGTTCTCGTGGTTTTGTTACAGCAGCAGAGGCTGGGGAGGCTCTAAATAAATAAACCTGTATTGTATTCCCTTTAGTGTAGCTCCATCTAGTGGATGCATAGTGCCATTGCGAGCGGCTGGGGAGGCTCTAAATAAATAAACCTGTATTGTAGTCCCTTTAGCCGTCTAGTGGACGCATAGCGCCACTGTGGAAAATCGGCCATTCATTGAAGGTGCGCCTTACACTCCGAAAGCGCCTTATAGTGTGGAAAATACGGAATGGAGATTATAATCCCTCACAGAATTGCTACTTTACGCACGCGGATCAGCAACGCGTACAGACAGCAATACTCGCAGGCCATCTCTTACACTCCGAAAGCGCCTTATAGTGTGGAAAATAGGGAATGGAGATTATAATCCCTCACAGAATTGTGTACTTTACACATGTTTACAAACAGCAATACTCGCAGGCCATCGATTCTCTCTGTCGTCCGCAGCATCTTCTTCCTGGGAGCCGCCCTTGTCATCGGCGCCACATTCCTCTACGGCTATGAAGGCAAGAAGCCACCCAATCCGAGCAGGGCGTGAGACTGACACTGACAGCACGGCCAAAACTGAAGTCAGGGTGGAGTTAGGGTTAAGAGGAGCAAGTCCAAAAAAAAAAAAAAAAGGTCAAGCATAATTGCTGGCTACACCTTAAGTGCCTCAGTTGGGAAAGGGAAATGACAAATTTTGCATGATCACGTCACCTGGCAATGTCATCATGTGAAGAAGAACAGCCACTAGGTAAGGCTTCCAGTTACGTGGGAGGAAATACATGAGAGTGGAACCTAAGTTTGAATTGATTGAAATTTTCAGTTTACACAGCAAGTCTTGTGCATTTTGGATTGTGGCGAAATTTCAACCCAAATTGCGATATCTCGACATTTTTGCACGGAAATATATATACTCATTTCATTTCATCACAATTGGCGTGCGCAGTCACAGTATCTCCTCCAGCTGGCGCCACTGGCTGCAGCCGCGATGGAGTCAAAAGGGTTCAAAGATTGTGTTGGGAAATGATTAGGGGGCATTTATGTGTACATTTTTTGCCTCGTTGCCAGGCAACCGATGGCCATATTTGCTCAACGTGGCGACCGATTCACTTGAGAAACACTGAGAAGAGATTACCTTAGGTTGTTATGAAAATACTAAGTCGGTTACAGTGGATGTAAATAATCACGCCTTTATAATTAATCAGATGAATTAATCTAAGAAGATTAATTAAAAAAAAAAAAAGATTTCTTTGGCTCATGTAATTTATTGGCGTTAATGTCCGGGTAAATACATGCTTTTTTTTTTTTTTTTTTTTTAATGCTGATCAGAGATTTATTTAGAGGTTTTATTTTGAAAAGCTTCATTTAATTGTATGATTTGACGGTTATGATTCCTCTTGTTTCGTTTTGTGGGTGTGCTTACATTGTTGTCTGGATTGCGGCTCAGAGAATCTTTATATAAAGTGGCAAAACTTGTCCGACTGCCTTTGCTGCTTTTATGGTGCGCCTCATCCTTATAATGTTTCACACGCTGTAACCTAACCCACTGGATGATTTAAAAAAAAAAAAAGAAAGAAAACAAATCAAGTACCAAGTACAACTTTATTGTCAAATGTGCTGTATGTGCAACATATTTGTGCTTAATAGAAGTGTAGTCATCATTTTCTATCCGGGTCACACTAATCCACAAATGTTGAATCGAAGCAACTAGTCTCTTCTTATTTGTTCAGTGTGTTGTTTTTTTTCCCCTTCTTTTCCACCTCACCCTGAAATATGAAATTCACTTCTGTGAAGTCGGACATATCTGAGGTCAATTTAAAGTCAACTTTCTCGGATCTCCTCAGGTTTTATCAACAAGAAGGAAATGACTCTTAAATATGTTTTTGGCATTTGTTTTAATAATCTTTAAAGCTCCGCATGCTTAACGCCAGCCAGTCTGAGAGTGGAAGTGTGATGTCCTTCAATTGTAACGCCACATGTCACTCAAACCAGGGGTTCACAAACTGGGGATCCCGAGCCATAACTTGGGGCCCGAAAAATAATCAGCAACAAATGATGTCCCATCACAAAAAAAAAAAGTTCATAACTACATTTTCATGAAGTCATTTTTTTTTCAACAAAACGTTTTTTGTTGTTTTTTTTAACAGTATGGAGAGACCAACAGGCATATTTTTTCAAGAATATATTCCTTTTTTCCGGGAAGCTACAAGATGTATTTTTTCAAAGAGTGACAATTTTTTATTAGAAATATACAGTATTTATTTAATTCAATCAGTTTCATTACATTTTTCTTTTTTAAAAAAATCTGCTTTGTTCTAGAATGTTAAACCTTTTTCTTAAAAAAAAAAAATCCAATCATAATTAGCGCTGCAACTGTTGAACGTTAATCAAGTACTCTACTGGTTATCCCGATGATTATTCAAGTAATTGGATAAAATTTTATAATATAGTGCTTTTAAAACCGTTCTAATATGTAAAATTTAAACAAATGCCATATCCCGAATACAGTTCCACGCAAATGGATTCAACCCTCATTGTGAATGACATTTACAAAAACAAAAACTAAATCATAAATACAAATAAATGTCATTATTTAACAGGGTTTACTTGCTGAAGTCCTCATTATACATTCACTCATTGAGATTTTTATTTTCTCAGTGTAAACATGAAAATTTTCAGGCAGTCATGATACAACTTTTTTTTTTCTCAATGTAAACATGAACATTTTCAGTCAGTCATGATACAATTTGTCGCCATTACAGACTCTTCATTTTGTACACCAGAATCAAACTCATGTCAAAAATAGTCATCACAGTAGCCTCAAATAATGTATACCCAAGGGGTCCTTAGTTTATAACTGTCCCTGTTTTCAAGGTTAATTGCGAAGGCATAATGCTAAATTAGCTAAATTCAAATGCTACATTAGCTAGCTTAAAATGCTAAATCATTCAAGATAAAATGCTGAATTAGCAAACATAGAATGCTAAATTAGCTAGCAATAATTGTTACCGATGTAAGCACTGCAGGCTTTTATGCTGTCCAAAATATTTTCCCATAGCTTTGTGTGGTCGAACAAGGAATGCAAAATACAATTCAAGAAATTAGCTAACGAAAAATGCTAAATTAGCTAAAATAACATGCTACATTTGCTCAGATAAAATGCTGAAATAGATATCTTAAAATGTTAAATTAGCGAAGATATAATGCGAAATTAGCTAACAAAATGCTAAATTAGCTCAGATGAAATGTTAAATTAGCGAAAATAAAATGCTAATTTTGTGAAGATTAAAATACCAAATTAGCTGTCAAAAAATGCAAAATTAGCTTATGATAGCAGCCCACCACTGTTTTTCCTACAAATATTTGAGTGATGATGTTCCAACAGCATTAGCATCGATCCACATTGGACTACGACGCATTCTGACTTCAAATTCTGATTTATTTCGGTTCGTAACAGAACCCCGTCATAAACAGAGGACTCCCTGACTGTAAATATTAATACATGAAAGAAATGAACACAGTTGGTTAGTGCCGTGTCCTTTGAGCGACGTTTGAGGCAGTTTCGTGTAACAAAGCAGCAATCTGACTCCATTGTGAAAACACACAAGCTCCACCATTGGAAAAACACTCCTCAAACTAATGATTGAGACCCTCATTAAGTCTGTTTTACTGTCATTTACTGAATTTTTTTTTGCCGTCGTTGTATTCTGAAGTGTACAGCAGCCCAGTGTTTGGAAAGTATCTTTAAGGCTTACCTATTATAAGTTTGATTTGGGTTGGTCCTATCCAGGAATAGGTTGTACTTCACACGTGACCATAATAAGTGCTATAGAAAACCGATGGGTGGCTGTTTGCTCAGTTGTGCTGAAGTCCAGTAGAGGCCGTTATGCTTTCCGTATCATCCAAGGCAGATTTTTTAAGTATTGGTGACTGGTATCGGCCTCTACTACTCAATACCTGGAAGTAAGGCTTGTATCGGCCCCATACCGATACCTGGTGTCTATGAGTGCGCTGAATTGTCTTCCTTGGTAGGACAGAGAGCATACCAGTTCAAAGATTAAACCGAATATCAAGCATATTCTGTCATGAACTCTACTTGGGCGGGATGACGACAAGCGGATGCCCTCTGGCGGGCCTCCACATGAGCACTTGGGCGTCATTGGCGTTGGGTCTCCCCATGGCATTAGCCGGGATGGGCTCCATGTGGCTCAGCACCCGCGGCTGCTCCTGGCGCACCCCGCCCACAAGCCGTGCCCTGGAGCCCAGGGGCCGGGCCGGGTCCACGGCGATGTCCACCCTCATGCGCCACTTGATGGCACGCAGCAGGATCTTCTCCCTGGAGGTGGCGTTGAGCGCCACTAACCAGGTGGTGAAACTCTGATCCCGCTTGATGTCGGTCAGCGAGGGCTCGTCAGATCGGCTCACCGGCACGGCCCAGGTCACGCTGGGGTAGAAGTTGTCGTTCATGCTGACGGTGAAACGCGACGGCTTGGAGGTGGGACCCACGATGGTGACCGTCTCTGTGGTGTTGCCGTACCATGGGTAGCTGATGCCGTCCGAGTCGCTAATGGCCTGCACCTGGCCTTCGCGCAGCTCAGGCAGTTCCCAACTTGACCTGCAGGGGGGGGGGGGCAACAAACAGCGACTGCGATCAGACGAGTCTCTTGGGATCACTTGTCTTTTTTGTTTCTGTTGTGACAAAAACGCCTCACTGGCAGCATTTTAGTAAAATTACAAAAGATAATTTTTTAATTAACTATTAGTATTTTATTAATTCACTGCCAGCAGTTTGAGAGCATTTTTTCCTGATTTTTCCAAAGCTGCAGATATTTGGTTTTGTGACAATTTAAGCACTAAACCTACCAAAGCAAAGTGTAGATTCTCTTCTTTCACAAGAAAATAAAGCAAAAAACAAAATGTACTTAAATTTTTTGTTACAATATATATTTTTTAAAAATACCAGAAAAAAATCACATTTTATGTGAAGATTGTTGTGACTTTACGGCAATAAAAATAGAAAATTGCCCCCAAAAAAAGGAAATTTACCAACCCTTTTTTCTTCTTTTCTCAGACAAAATCTTTTCACTTTTATGACTATAAACCCTGGAAAATTCCATTTAAAAACCCACATTGGGTTAAAAAAAAGGTTTGGATTCATGTGAATGAAATCCGAAGTGTCTGAATTAGCTTTGATCTTTTGGATAAACTCGTCCATCGTTGTGCAGGAAGAGGAGCATTTGTGCTCGCAGCAGGTGAGACTCCCGCATTTCGACGCACACCCACACATTGTGTTCTTGTGACTTTGGCACCCGAGTGAGCATGGGTGAGTAGAAGACAAATAATTGAAAATACTGTGAATCGATATTTCAAATTCCAATGCAGTGGAGGTTCATTGAAGACGCTGAATGATGCGAGGTGTGAATGTAAGTGTGAAATCTTATTGTGGATGTACCCTGCAATTGGGCAGGCAACAGGAAATGACGTCACTATTAGATGCATCAACACACTGAATTATTTATTATGTTGACGTGTCTGGGGCACCCCTCTTGGCGGCTTCCAATTGATCCATTATGCTTAGTAAAATAGTTTACAGTAAGATAGAGACAGAAATTATAGGGAGGTTGTTAATGAGGGCTATTTTTTCTCACAGTATACAGGGGGTAGTTAAAATGCTGCGGAAAAAAGAAAATTAATTGATGAAAAATGTGTAAGAAAGTACTTTAAAATTATTTGAAAACTAAAAACGAAAAGATAAAAAGACAGAAATATGAACAAATGTTTGAAAAACGAACAGAAGACGAAAAAAACTGAAAAAAAATACAAAATAAAACAATACATCCTGATTTATATAGCGCTTTCACAACAGCTGCAGCTGTAACAAAGCACTAACAAAAAAAAACACTGCCCCCCCCCAAATAGAAACAATATGAATACTATGTAAAAATTATCTATCTATTAGAAGAGCTTATTGAAGTTTCTCATTCGAATCAATTAGCATGAAGAACCTTCGTTCCGACCTCCGTACTAACCCGGAACCCCCTCCCCCACCCCCCTACAACCCACTCACATGCCGAGGTCCCCATAGGTGTTGTAGAACTCCATGTGGGTGCACGCCTGGATCCAGCCCACCACCCAGGTTTCGTTACGCGGGATGGGCGGCATGACGACCCGGGCCGACGCTTTGAAATAGGGCGTCTTGTAGCGCAGCACGATGTCCGAGTCCTCCTCCACGGCCGTGGGGCGGGGGTCGATGGTGGCCGCCAGGTCGCACACCACCACATTCTCCCTGCGGACGCGCGACTTGTTGCAGGCGATGCTCTGGATGCAGCCCATGGCGACCAGCCACTGCCGCCGGGACCACCGCCACTAGATCCGGGCGGCGCTCACCGCGATGGGTGCCTCTCCGGGGATTGACACCCTTGCTCACCTTCTGCCCGGGGCTTCCTCTTCCTCGCCCGGGCTGGCATGCTCCGGGATGCCGGAGGTCGGGCGTCGGGCATCGGATACTGCGGCGCTGGCCGAACCCGGCCGGCCGCGTACGTCGGTCACTCCACCGCCACCAGCATCCCGAGTGTCGCTGTTCAGCCCGGCGCGGTGCTGAATTGAACACGACGCGATACGCGGGGAGTGCCCCGGATGCAGGCGAGGAGCTTTCGCCGACACCTCCCCTCCGCCACCGGCAAACAGTGTGTGACATCACCATTATCAAGTGTCCAAATACTTCGGGAGACATGAATAGATTTCACCTTTAACCCCCGTAATGTGAATGTGTTTTTCTTAAATATATTTTTATTGAAGAAAAAACAAGTACAGAACAGTATAATTTTTTGTGTGTGCGTGCTTGCGTGTGCACGTGCGCGCGTACGGGTGGTGTGTGGGTGTGCGTAATTAAAGATGTACCGTATTGTGTGTGAATTTATACACACACACACACACACACACACACACACACACACACACGCACACACGAACACACACGCACACGCGCATACATATCAATATATCATACATATCAATAATCAAACATAAAGTGGTCTCTTATTTTGAAGCTCAGTCATACGAATGTCAGCATGACGTAATTTCAATGCGGAAAAGCCCACAGTGGCGTCGCCTGAAAGAAAGAAAAATCACAAAAGTAAATTCTGAGAATAATCATTGTGTCCTCGTTATGAACTCATGTCTAGGTATCTCCAACGAGTTATACAAACAAAAATAAAACATCTGTCGTTGTCTGAAATACTTTTATTTTGAAGATCAATCCACCAACTAACTGGGGTGACATCATTCTACGAGTAAACGTGCTCATGGTGCCAAGTCTCCGCTGAAACAGAAAAAAACAACGTTCATATTGAGAGTAATCGACTTTCAAAATCATATATAAGTATTTCCGAAGAGTTACATTGTTCAGTAACTAAATGAGAATGGTTTAATGTCGTTAAACTATCTTTTATTATGAAGGCCACTCAAAGTCAAACTGGCCTGACGTCATTTCCTTGCGGAAATCTGCCTCCACCTTGTCGAAAAAGTGGACTCAAAACACAACAACGTGATTGTTAATCTTAGAATCATTGAAAGCCACAAAGTATTTCTCAGTTAGTTCAAATGGTAAGTACTGTACTTCGTATTGCAAACCGATGCACGTTTACAGATAAGCTAATTCACTACTGAGCTGTTGAGCCAATGAAGCAACTTTATTTTAATTATTATTTTTAATAGATTTGACGTATGCATTCACATCATATCAAGTCAAGTCAAGTAAAGTACAACTTTAAGTGCACATACCTGTGTTTAAAAAAAAAGTACTGGTTTAACTAAATATGAGTAAAAGGAAAAAAAAGTCTAGACTGAAATGTACTTCATTGGTGGTGGTCAGAAAAACAAATACGTAACATACAGATACTTGAAAATTATTTCAATTAAGTAATGAAGTATTTGCACTTTTTTACTTCCCACCGGTGCCTTTCTTGAAAAAAAATGACATTGAAGTTGAACTGTTTTCTTGTAGGTTTCCACTGATTTCAAAGCGGTGGTCCAAAGGTTTTACCAGCTGCAGTCCGAGCGTCTGGAGACCTATCGACTCTTTGAGGAGTATGTTTGTGTGTACTGCACTTTGTCTGTGCCTGTGTGTTTCTTCAGCTGCAACATTGGCTTTCTTTGCAGACTTGATAGACTTTCTATAACCAGGCTATCTACTTTGGTGACATTTTTCCAATGTAAAATATGTTCCTTAGCTCATTAAAGGTTGGGGATGCCTGAAGTGGAAGAGCATTTGATTGCTCTGCCGGTCACTTAATGTCGCTGGTGTAGACAGATGAACAAAGATACAGTATTTGTAGTCAACAAATCCTAATTTTCATCACATTTAAAAGAAACGACATCATATTTTGTGTTTGCAGAGGGCACGAGGCTTACCTGAAGACGGGCCCCCACTATGACTTTGAGCACTACAAGCAGCTGGTGCACCAAATCACGCTGGCCTTCAATGGCATTTCCAAGGAAGTTCTGGACATCAAGGACAAGTTCCAGCTCCACTTGGACCGGCCCGACCTCTCGGATCACATCGACAAACTGCAGTGCAAAGAAAAGCACAAGCTCCAACTGGTAAAAAAAAAATACAAATACAAATACACGCTTCCAGTGCAGTCTGAAATGTGGACACTCCATTAACATAAAAAAAATTTAAATGACAACAATGGACAAATGTGTTTTTCCCAGGATATGCTTGTTTCGCACATACAGTTACACACATTAAAAAATGGTAATAAAGGACTCGCAATGTGAACAATAACTTAAATTCACCAACACACGCTATAAAAAAGTATGCCACAGTATGTGTATTTTAATGCCGAAAAAAAAACCCGCTGTCTTAAACACTTAAGTAAGCTTCACCTAAAAAATCACATTGAGGATATTTGAGAAGTCGTCATCATATTGCCAAAATATTTTCATCAAACCAGTCACCAAACATATTCACCTCCTTAGCACACAATTTCTACACAAATTACATTCTCTAGTTGTAGTACAGCATGTTTACTTTACACATTTTTGGACATATCAGTGCTCATAGTAATTTTTGTTATTTTTTTCAGAATCACCACAAGAGGGCATAACATATCAAAATACACTCGTCGATAACAGTTCTACATTGACAAAGGAATGTAACATATTAATGTCATTTTGTATGCAAACTATATACTGATTGACTGCTGGCTGGCTTCTTCCAATCTACTTAAACTGTTTTTTTCCATTTAAATTATGAGTTTTTAACTCATAATTTAATAAATTGAGTCATTCAATCTTTATTAGGTAGTCGATTTGTTTGTATTTAAACCGTGCGTCATGTTAGAGAATCTTCCATCAATATCACATGTATTTTTCCGGGCTTGGACCTCAACAGACGTGAGTTTCGTTGTGTTTTGCATTCAGACAGCTCAACTGCAGCTGGCCCGGCAGCGGGCTCAGGACCACCCGGAAGACCAGGAAGCCTCCCAGGAGAAAATCCAGCAGCTTAAACATGAGTAAGCTCGGTCGTGGTCGCCACGGTTACGACGGGACTCACTAATCATATGGGCCCGGTGTGAGGTTCTTGTGTGCTTGGAATGTTCAGGATCATCAAGACCCAAGAGGCACTCAGCGAGATCATGCAGGACTTCAAGTACGACTCGGAGGAGGGTGATTGACAGGTCGTTCAAATCTCGTCAGTGAGCTTTTCGTGTTGTTCGTTAATATGGAGGCCTGTAAATAATTGGGGAATAGCATTCTATTCTACATAATGACATCATTCAATATATTGTAACAAATTCAACAGTTTTTGTTGCAATTCAGTGGACATTGTGATGTATGTGGCTTGGCCACTGCGGGATGTATTGAACACCAACACACACAGATATTAGTCGCTCTTCGCAAAGGATGAAGAATATATGTCTCTGAGTATTGTTATATTATCTGTTTACATCTGTTGCTCCATGGTTTGTGTTTTTTTTTTCAAACGTCCAAAATGCCACTGAAAACACTGATAAACATTTAATATTGGGTTTTCATGAAAAAAATCCAATAAAAATCATTTTAAAATCCTGTGAATTTGCGGGTGCTGAAACTGCAAACATGTATTGACTAATTACTACTGTCCTACTGTACTTATGGATTTTTTATTCTTTTTTTCAAAAATAAAAAATTAGTTTTGTTTTATTTTGGGGGGGCAAACCCCACTTTTGTAGAAAATGTATACTGATCAGCTTTTTTTTTTTAATTTGGGGTTTTTAGCAAAGAAGTTTTTTGTCATCCATGAATTGTAATTTGCATGCAAGAAAGCCCTTTGTACTAGAAAAAAAAATCCAGTATTGGGTTATTTTGTTCTTTGCCTCAAACCCTTTTTTGTTGGGTTTGTATCATGTCTCTAAAATTAAATACATTAGGAGCACGTATTTTGTGGATATGGAAAATTGCATTTTTGTCATCCATCTGGTTAGGCAGTCTGTGGTCCTTTGTTGCCCACCCAGTAACACAGATGAAAAATAGTGGCCCCCTCCAGCACTGAAGTTGCCCATCCCTGTAACATTTCGACTGCCCCGGAGGGGAGGAGGCGGGCGTCCATGTCGTTGCGTAAGTTTACGCAACAGGTTGCTTTGGAAACTCCGAGCTGAGCGTGAAGGCGTCGCTCGCGAAGGCGGAAGCGTACAAGTCCCGTGAAGGCATCACGCTTGTCTTCTGCGCTCTCAGAGCACTCGTTTCCCACTTGGGGACTTGAGAACAGCACCCGCGATCATGTTTGTGCAAAAAGTGTGGCTGTACCTTTACACGGGCTACATGTTCCTCTTCGTGGTCTGCGTGAGCTTCGTCCTTCGCGCCTTGCACGTGTTTTCGCCAGCCTTGACCAAGAAGGTCATCCTGAAAATGAACGAACGGACCACGATGGTCAAGAATCCCAATTTTACCTACGACGACTGGGGGCCCACCTTCCTCACCGACACGTTCATCAAAACCGCGTCGCGGCACATGTGGTTATCCCTCGGTCAGAAGGCGTTCGTGGGGGAGCCTGCCCCGGATTCGCCCGTGGTCACCATGGACAAGCGCCAGAGCAGCATCTGCAACTTTCTCAAAGGTGCGTACAACTTTGCGCAGAAAAAACAAAGAACAAGAAACTACATTTATTAGAGGGGCCGGGGAGGGGGGGGGTATTAAATGGTCGGAGTATGTAGCACGCGTGACGTCACAGCAACAACAAACCAATAAAATTTTTTTTTTCAATTATAATTGTAATTGATTTACAAATGAAATTGATTTTTTGTTAACTCATGTTACTGTAGTTTATTTTTCAAAAGTAAATTTGCATAAATGGAATCAAATTCCAATGAATTTATAAAATAATGCCATGTTTTTCAGTTATAATATATAAAATATATTTTTCATAATTACAATTATTTCACCAATGGTTTAAATAACGGTTAAAAAATGTAAACATTTTTATTTTACTGACATGAATTTTTTATGTAAAGCGATTGACTAAAATTTCATTTTTAAAATGATGAGGTGAACTGTAATGAACTCACCAATGGTTGAATTCAATGACATTGGATTTTTTTTTTTTACATTTTAATATTTTAAGTAAAGACAACCGTAGCTGTAAAAAAAAAAATCTGGCATATAAAAATAAAGACAGTTAAAACAATGCATTGATAATGTAAAGATATTAAAACAATCAAAATGAACAAGCCAATAGTTTAATTTAACGAATTGATACAATTTTTCACTTAAAAGAATTGGAACTAAATCACAACTATATTAAATATGATATTGACACTTATTTTAATAAAACAATTCCTTTTCCCTTTAAAGGGAATCTTTATCATGAATTCTCCATCCATGACTCATGACATGAAGTGCATGTGACTCAATGTTGTTGCGGATGCAGGTTCGAGGCCTCTGGTGCTGAACTTCGGCAGTTGTACCTGACCGCCGTTCATGTTCAAGCTGGACCTGTTCAAGCAGCTCGTCCGGGACTTTGGCGACATGGCCGACTTCCTTGTCGTCTACATCGAGGAGGCGCACTCAAGCGGTGGGCACGTGCAACCAAGCGCTCAAAATCATCTTAAAACTTCTTCATAAACTCGTTTACTGCCAATGACGACAAAAGACATCGAAGATCCATTTTTGCTGGGCTGGCAGGGAATAAATTCAAATGAACTGAAATGCCATGAACCCCCTCCCCCCTCATGAATAACAATACCATGAAGAGTGATGGGATGGGGAAAAAGACCATCACTGGCTACACTTGTAAGAGTAATGCAACCACCGAGTAGAATGTCGGAGAGCGAACCAGCTGAACCAGTTTTTCCCCAGGTTCAGTGCTATTCATTCATACTACTTAATACGATCAGATTTCCTTCCATGATTTGGGACACAGAATTGCGCTCCGATAAGCAAGTTGCATGGACAATTGTAACATTTCACACACGCCAAGTAGGCATTTCTGGGTTTTAAGTGACACCTACATGCACATTTACACATAGTGAGCACTGTCTTCCGGCAGTTACGAAGTGGTGCAGCGTCACCATGGAGGTGTACCACTATTTAAAAAAAAAAAAACAATAAAGAGGTGGTTGATTGGCCAGGCTTTTAGCGGCAGCCGAGGTTTGCGGGGCAGTAGAGATGGCTTGGACCCAAAAAGTAGCAGGTCCCGATGGAGCGACTTTGGAAGGCGTGTGCCCTTGCAGCTGATCTTCAACCCGGAACAGAGAGAGCGTCCCAAAGCCACAGAAGACATTCTGCATTGTCCCGACATGTAAGAAGCCACATCCTTGTGAGCTAAATGTCTCTAGGCCCGGTTGCCCTGATTATCACATGTGATGAAGATCACGGAAGGGCTGCCACTTCACCGCCTGAGATTGCAAGTCGAGACAGTTTTATCACTCGAGCACCACCTCACAACAGAAATTATCGCTCTTTATACCTTGAGCATGTCAAGAACCACACTCCTCACTGGTGAGAAAACCAACAGAACCCCAAATCAGCAAGCATTTGACGGAAAGGACTCACTCCATTTTAGGAATAACGCTCAAACAGAATCTGCAGGCTCTGTGATTTGGAAAAACTGGGGGTGATATGGTTTCGCAATATCATGTGTTTCCAGCTATTGCGGGTGGTCTGGGATGTATCCATGACCATGAACAGGTGATTAACTGCATGGTTTGTTTCAGATGGGTGGGCCTTCACTAACAATCTGCAAGTGAGCAAGCACCAGAGCCTGGAGGACAGGATGGCTGCGGCGCAGATCCTCATTAAGGAGGATCCACTTTGTCCCGTGGTGGTGGACCAAATGAGCAACTCGGCCGCCATGGAGTATGGCGCGCTGCCCGAGAGGCTCTACGTGCTGCACAAAGGCAAAGTCCTCTACAAGGTGAGCCCTCAGTTCAAAGCAACGCTCCTTCTATCTGCCGCGTCGACCTGGGGAGTGCTCGCGCGTCAAGGCTACGTACGTGGTTCATTCAAGCGGGTGTCCGCTTGGGGGTTTTTATTTGAGCTGCTAACGCCATCCTAGCTACGAAAATATCGCTGCTGGCCAGGTAACACAGTGCTAGTAACATATAAAAGGGATTTTGCAAGCTTGGAGAAGAGAAGAACTAGCTTATCGCTAGCTAGGAGGAGGCTAATAGCGATGTTAGATGGATTTAAAATGGGACCCAAAAGGGAAAAAAAAAAAACATCCTTTTCTCTGCCATTGAGATGGTTAAAGTTACTTATTATTGTCATGATAATCCCTCCACTTTACCTCGTCGTCCTGATTTCAAGTGTTTGCCTATAGAAAAAGAAGAAGAAGCCTTTCCCTGTTCCATTCGCAGCCTTCCTCCCACTATGCAAATGTCGCGATTAGAAGCTCGGCCAAGAGGCTGTCGACGTCCCTTGGCTCACGCAATCGTGTGTCTAGGAGCCTTTAGAGCACCACAGATAGCTCTGGAATTCTTTGGCTCGGTCCCAGGCTGACACGAGCCGCGCCAAAATGAATGTGTAACCCCTGTATTTAAAAATTCACCCAAATAGTTACTGAAGGTAATGAAATGGAGTTAACCTGATGAGCGTTTATGGAGATGTTCTTGTCGTGCGTGTGTGTGTGTGTGGGTGCATGTGTGTGTGTTGCAGGGGGCCATGGGGCCTTGGGGCTACAAACCACAGGAGGTGCGTTCGGTTCTGGAGAAGATTAAGTAGGAAGGAAGACGCATTTCTGCCAAGCAGACTCCTTTTTCTTTTGAGAGTCACTAATACTTACTAAACACCCACTACACCACTTACTCATTGAGATTTTTTTGTCTTTCAGCAGCCAGTGCGCTGTCCCCGGCAACACGCACACACATGCCCACACACATACAGACGCACTCGCAAACTTGCGTGATGTCTGGACTGTATCTCAGCCAGTCTGTGTTTCTTGATGAAGGCTACAGATAAAACCTTCCGGACTCTGTACCCTGATGAAGTGAAACGTAGACTTTTGAGATCCTTTCAGCTCTGACAAAGTGATACATTCGATTTATCGTGCTTGATAACTTCATTCGATCAGTCGAAATGAACGCCATTGTTACGACCCAAATTATTATTTTTTTTAAGTTTCTGTCATTAAAATAGTCAAATGTCTAGCACTCACGGGCAGTGAAAGAGTCCCCATTAATAAAAAATAAAATAAAATTATGAGCAGCGGTCTAATCAATTTGTTAAGCGCTGTACATCGAGCCCTTCAAAATTGGCTTCATTGATTTGGAAGTTTCAGTAATGACTCTGATTACCATCAGCACACAGGATGTGCCAATTCATCTCACACTTGGCCAATTTTTACATGACAGTTATGGCGCAAACCTCCGGTAGCTATAATTTGAAGGCTTCAAAGTTGACCTGTCTGTGACCGATGTTGGCCACCCTTTGTCTCATGCGTCTGGTTTGTATTACTGTCTCACAATAAAGGATTTGCTTTAATTTGGGGGCTCTCTTTTGTTTCCTAAGATTTCAATGGTTTGAACCTGTTGAATAAGGTGTGAAATGTGGATGGATGTGATGGTGTGGAACATGTCCACATCCATTTCAAAGGGATTTGTTGTTTTTCTCATAGAAAGTGTGCAATTTTATCCATGCGGAAATTTGTTCCCAAAATGTCCCGAGTGAGGTGAAAATTTTGAGGACTAAAATTGAATTAGTGGACTGACTAGCTCGGCGGAAGTTCGGGGAATAATTATCTGTAAAACTAGAGAACGCCAAAAAGCTAAAATGCTGTTGAACTTGCGTCGAAATGTAGAATGTGAGGCTTTGAGTTGGAACGGTTGAATTGGTGGAATATGGGATAAGAGCCAATTCTGTGGAGGTCAGAACAACGTACTGTTGAGCATTTACAGAGCAAACACGTGGAATGTAGTTTACGAACATTGAACATAAGTGACTGTTGACAGTCACTTGGAACAGACCAGTCCAAAAACAGCCTTTTGGGCAATATGTCACATGTTGCATCAAAAGAAAAACTTGATGATCATATCATTTGTTTCGGCTTATTGTGGTACAAACAGTGGATGACAATCAGTTCAGTAGTAAAAGAACTACAATTAAAAAAATATTTCGTCCAACGCCTTCAAACACTTGAAATCGCTGCTTTTTCTTTTACCCAATCAGATTGTAGATTGTTCGGAACTCCCTTGTGACAAAGGAGTTTATCCGTCCTCTTATTGGTTGAGCCAGGTGTATGATCTGATTGGTTCAGCTCAGCTGTGCGCCGAAGCTTGATTTTCGATGGCGGCGATATCCGACTATGATTAAAAAGTCATTTTCAAGGCGCGCCTTTCAATGAAAAAAAAAAAAGAATTTATGAGACTTGGTGAACCAACACCGTTTTGCTAAGTGGCTTGTTTCAATATAGAAGTTTTTGGGGGAGCACTTTTAGCGTAGTTATGTATGAGCAGAACAACTAGCATAGTTAGCATCCGCAGACAGACAGGAGCCTCCGCGTCAACATCTGTGGTGAGTATGATGTGATTTATTTAAAGTTTTTATACTTATAAAAATGATTGTGAACATTTTTGTACATTACTGTATTTTGTGACTCGATGCCATTAGTTGGAGGTGGTTGAGCTCATTAAATACCCACGAAAGGCCCAGGTCGGAAACTCAGCGCCCGCCACTGATTGACACCAACTTGGACATTTTCAACAAGGTGCGTGTGCTCACTTTTACTGTCAGTGGTTTAATTTTATGGCTGTGTGTTGAGTTATTTTTGAGGGGACAGTAAATTTACACTGTTAAACAAACTCACTATATAGCGATGTCATTCCTTAAGTGTTGTCCCAAATTTCCTCGACTCTATCATTAACACCACCAAGACAAAAAAAGTAGAAGAAAAAGTACTGTGGTTTCATATAAAGTTTAAGAATAGAGCACGAGGGCTTATTTTCCAAAACAATATAAAAGCCAAATTTAAAACAAATGTATTTATCCACTCTCGTGTTCAACACTTTCACATTGAGCCAATGATTTATTAACTTTTTTTAATAGGATAAAATTTATATTTGCAAAATGTGCATGTTTACTTGAATAAATTAAATTTTTCTCTGTATAATCCGAAATAGATTTACCGCGTTTCGGAGAGGAGCTCAAAGCTGCTCATAGGAGTCTTTGAAATTTGACGCTCATCCCTCGAGTTAATACGGCTTATAATAAGCCTTTTGGGACTAGCCTCACTGTATTTTTTTTTCCCCCAACAATAGAGTTGCTCTTTGCAAAAACATGACCAGGAAAAAAAAAAAAAAAAGATGCTGATAATTTGCTTTGGCGCTTGCGTGCACCTCGTAAGAGAAAGGGCAAGTTGAAGCTGGTGTGTGGCACCGATGAACTCGCTGGGTCGACAGGTTCATCAAGTTTGTAGTCTATTCACTGAAGCTGAGTAATGGAGTACGGATACTTCATTTTTTTTTTTTTTTTTAACTCTAAATTAACCTCAAGGTCTTGTTTGAATGAATTTGTCTACTCTTATTATTATGGCTCTATTCTTGGCCTAGCTCCAAATGGATTTGGAACATGGTTCATGTACATGGAAAATAAATAGTCAGTAAAGGTTAAGTAGAGACTGTGAGTACTTTCACCACCTGTGCCCAAGGCTAATGATTGCTTCGGTTGTATCCTGTGGAAAGTCCCACTTTTTTTTTTTCTCCAACAGTAGTGTTTCCTGTATTGACAGTACAGAACCGAGCGACGTGGCGTTCTTCGGTCTTTGTTTACTGTCTGGAAACAATCTGATCTGTGTACCATATGGGTCATGCAGTTTGAAGAATGTGATGCAATCCGAGTCGCACATCTCCTTTACAGTTTATTATCCTGCGTGTCCAATGAAAAGCATCTATTGAAAAGTATCTCCAAATTTTTTTTGGGGGGGGGGGGCTTGGTTTAAAAAAAAAAAAACGGAAAAATTATGTACCCGTCAAGCAGTCCCCAAATTTTGTTTGGGGGGGGGGGGGCTTGGTTAAAAAAAAAAAAACGGAAAAATTATGTACCCGTCAAGCAGAAATGTTGCTAATTCCACATCGCTGCTTCTGTTTGCTAGTGTTAGACCTGGAGTATGGAACATTCGCCACTTGATGTGCCCTGCAACTGGCTGGCGACCAGTCTGGGGTGTACTGCGCCTCTCACCCAAAAATCAGTTGGGATAGCCTCCAACTTGCCTGTTTGAGAACAAACAAAACATCGTGTAATTCGTGCAGACGCCGGAAGACATCTTTTGTGTTTTGTTGCGGTCCCACCCACGCTGTGTTGTGGCTTCGTTTTGTGTTCACCCCAAATATCAAGCGTTGATTTTGCCAATTTGCCACAACACGAGTGGAAGTCATGGTGGGAGCCACAAAGGATGCTCTGTGCTTGGCCA